GCGAGTCATGGTGCTTTAGTAAATTGGGCATGCGGAATTCAAAAAAAAACATGAATTTTGAGCAAAAATATTGACGGAAGCATATGCTTTGGATGACTTTTTTGAAAATCGATGGGCGAAAAAAGATTTCGTTGCAACTTTTTTTCCTAAAAAATCAAAAGTGCATTTTTGTGATGGGCCTATCTTATAGAGCTCCTCTAATACTATCTATAGCAACACTAAAACCAATTCACTTTCATACAAATTTATTGAAAAAAATTCATTTGAAAAATGTCGAACTTCAAATCGACCCCGCCAAAATTGAGCCTTAGGTAGGCCAAAGTGCCAGAACAAAAGTTGTTACTCTCGACCAGGTCTACAAAAACCGCACTAGCCGTTTTTTTCATTTTCAAAAATAAAAAATCGATGCACCCTAGTGGCCAATGATAAAAGGTTCAATGGAAGATGGTAAACAATATTGTCAATATCTCAGAACTACGTTCAATCAATATTCATCAGCCAATATGGATCCGGAAACATATGAAAAAATGTCGCAGGCCGTTAAACAAAATGAACAAATGGGAGCCAAACAATTTGTGGAATTAATCAAAATCACACAACAATTCAAGGATATGATTGAAAAGTACACGAATGAGATCGATGAAATGAATAGAAATTTGGAGTTGCTGCGTGAACTTGAAGCAAAAAAGCAACAACTATTGCCGAAAAAAAATCGATTGATATTGTTAAAGATATAAATACGATCGTTAATAAATTTAAAGAAGAAGAAGTGAAGAAAATTACGAATCTTCTCGGTAAAATTAAAACTGTTGCCGAAAAGAAATGTCCGAATCCAAATGCTGTAAAGAATGAAGTTGTGAAGAATGTAAAAAACATTAAAAACATCAAACCATTGAAAAAAATATTCGGGAAAAAGAAATAATCGATGGTTAACGACGATGATCGGAGATATCGTAAGTGTGCGTTTAACATATGAATAATAGATAAGTGACAAGACAATTGTTATAATCTTGATAAAGAAAAAAAAATCAAATTTACTCCCAAAACAACAGAAACATAGTTTTTCCTTAATTATTCTTAAAAAATTATTCATTTATGAATAAGTAGACAAACAATTTCATTTGATGCATACTATCTTTTTTCATTTGTATTTTCAATAAATTCCAGACATTATTATATTTCAATATTTGCAGCCAGATGAATGGTCTGAGGCATCTGACGTCAGGCGCTGAAATGGAGTAAAAACAATAGAAGTAAAAAATGTTCAGTGTTTATTTTTGTTCAATTTCCAAATTCGATCTTTTTTTTTGTAATCGTTTCTCGTTGAATTCAAGTCGCTGATTCTTACTGGTTTTCGGTAGAGTTTTCGATTTGATGAAAACGATTGTCTATAATTGAAATAAATTGTTAATCGGATTGATATATGATTGGGTGGGAAACAGTAGGAAAAGCTGAAATTTTTACCTTTGATTATAATTGTAACGCGTTGATGGTAATGTCGATTAAATTCAGCTTGACAAATATATTCACCAGCATCGGTGAGTTGAACATTTGTTATTGTGAGAACACCATTATTTTGGTGTGATCGATCCGGGAGAGACCCATTAACCTTATTCCAGATGACTGTGGTTGGAGTCTAGAAGAAAATTCAAAACAATATTCCTTAATTCTACCTAATACATCATCGTCAATAGAGAATTCTCACGTGTGTGGTATTTTGGTATGCACTGCATGGTAGTGTCACACTGTCTCCGATTTGAAACTCAGGCGAAGAGATCACAATAGAAACTGCAACTTTATATTTTCAATTCGAATTCAAATAAAATGGATTAACAAACGTACTAAAAGCTTATAAATTGATAAATAATTAAAAGATTTGAACAAATAAATGAATTGAAAATGGAGTCTGTTTCGTCGTCACAAAATCAAAATGTCAGCTTAATATAATGTCTGCCAACAACCATACCGGTCATGTTTGTTCAAAATGTAATATCGTCCATATATTTTTCAGGCAGTTGAACTTGTCCGAATATGTGCTTTGTGTGATCATGTTATTATAAGGGATGCTTTTAATTTCGAATTTATTTAAAATTGCGGAAATTACCAAAGTTACTCTCTGCTTCCTCTAAAAGTTTAGCTGCTTCGCTGTAACCTGAAACGGTTTGTGATCATAAACTTTATTGAGTTGCTTTCAATATAACGTGTATGGCCAAATTACCACTGCTAGCAGCCTTTTCTCTTGCAGTTCGGTTTTCATCATTTCTAACGAATGGATTTGCACCCTTTTCTATTAACAGTTTAATCGTGTCAACGTGGTCTAAAAAGACATTCAAAGAAGAAAAAATAAAGAGTCTTTCAGGAGTAAGACGAACTTTTCCGCACGGTGGTAGATGCGTATTTTATCAAGCTCGAAATATTCTTTAATTTAATAGCAGAAGTACTCGCAAAAGATTTTTCACACTATCATGATGAACTCATTTGTAGGATATTTGAAAGTATCACGGGGGATGGCAGTCCCCCAAGTGACGCAATACCCACATGCAAATGAAATATGTATATTTTGCGTCACTCTATATATACGTTAAAGACATGAAAATCTAAACCGCTGACTTTTGGAAAGGAGCCTTTGCATATTTTAGTAGTGCTCGGGCATCAAATTAGGAACCCGCAAGAAAAATTGAAAAATTTCAAAATTTGGCCGCCAGGTGGCATTTTGAAAAAATCGCTGAAAATTCATTTTTCTCGATTTTTGACCACCAAAATTATTTTTTCGACATTTTTTTTGGTCATATTCGGAATCTAGTGACCGCGTAGATAACGTTAAAAAAAATATCATCACGATCGGTTGAAAAGTGGCCGAGATATGGCCAGTTGGCCAAAAACCTCAAACTGGCCGGTTGAGGTGTTTGTGTGTCTGTCCGTACCTTCTTTTAAATTGTAATTTGAACGCTGAAAGACTGTGTAGTGTATGTTAGTTTTAAGATGCAATCAATTTTTCACAGACTTTTCATACAAAAATTAAAAAAAAAAAATCATTTTTGTATGAAAGACTTGCCTTTGTGGTACCGTAATGATGTGAAACTTTGAACACTGACCAGGCTATTTTTTTGTGATTTTTTCAAGGAAACTGTATCTCAAAACTAACGTCGGATTCGGTTTTCTCGTGCCAAAAAACCCCCCAATACATATTTTTGAGTGTTTAAGTCTACATTAAGTATGACTTTTGAACGAAAATTGGACTTTTTTTTATATGTATCACTCCAGGCATGAAATTTTTTTCCATCAACCAAAGTCGCTCAAAATCTAATGATTTCTATTCCTCGGGACCCTCAATCATCCTGTAAAGTCAGATTTTGAATTAAGTTTCTACGATGAGCGCAATCTTGCTAACAAATTTTGCGTACGACGTACGACGTACAGATTAACAAAAACCATGTTTAAAAACGCCAAATTCGTATTCTCTGACCTCAATAATGGGTAGAAAACATGTTTCTGAAGTTTTCAAAATTTTGACCGATTACAATACTTTTCACCTTACACTATGTGTGCGGAAAAGTAAAATAAGCGATATTCGTTCAAGTTTATTGAAACTATTTATTTTCAATTTGGAAAAGTGAACCATTACCTTCAGAAGCTGCCTTGTAAAGTGGCGTTTCATGCCATTCGTTTTCAACATTCACCTCCGCTCCTTTTTCTATTAGATATTCAACTACATCTGTATTACCTAGAATGTACGAAAAGTAATTAGAATAAAACATCAAAATTTATTTTTGATTTTAAAAAAGTGAACATTTACCATACATAGCAGCGTTATGAATTGGTTTGTACCTCACATGTTTGGATTCAACATTCATGTTCGCTCCATTTTCTATTAGATATTTTACTACATCTATTTGACCTAGAATGCACGAAAAGCAATTAGAATAAACATCATTGAAACGTTTTATTCTCAACCATTACCTTCAGAAGCAGCCACGTGAAGCGGCGTTTTTTTCAATTTGTTTTCAACATTCACATTCGCGCCATTTTTTATTAGACATTTGACTATATTAGTCTATATAACCTAGAAAGCACGAAAATTAATTAGAATAAACATCATTAAAACTATTTCTTCTCAATTTTGAAAAATGAGCTACCAGACTCCACAGCCTTGTAAAGTGGCGTTTCATTCAATTTGCTTCCAGCATTCACATCCGCTTTATTGTTTATCAGATATTTGACTGTTTCTGTATGACCTAGAATGCACGAAAATTAATTAGAATAAACATCATTGAAACTATTTGGAAAAGTGTAAAATTACCTTTCTCAGCAGCTTTATGAAGTGGTGTGTATTTCCAAGATCTTGTTTGAGCATTCACATTTGCTCCTTTTTCTATGAGATATTTGGCTACATCTGTATGACCTAAAATGCACGAAAAGTAATTAAAATAAAATTTATATTTACTAAAAAAAATTAGAATTGAAAATCAAAATTAAAATTCACGCTTGGCAGACACCAATATAATAATTTTTCAATTTGAAAAAGTGAACAATTACCCCGAGAAGCAGCCTTGTGAAGTGGAGTGTATTCCCCATAACTAGTTTTAACATTCACATTCGCACCATTATCGATTAGGTATTTTACTACATCTGTATGACCTAGAATGCACGAAAGGTAATAAGATTAAATATTATTGTTTACTGTGGATGTTCAGTTGGTAGAAAAATATAATAAATTTTGATTTGGAAAAGGGAACAATTACCATATGAAGCAGCCTTGTGAAGTGGCGTTTCTTTCACTAAACCTTCAAAATTGACATTGGCTCCATGCTTGATTAGTGTTTGGACCTCATCTATATCTCCTAGAAAGCACGAAAAGTGATGTGATTAAACTTTTATTTCTTTTTATATTGGAAATATGTAAAACGACCATTGTGAAGCGGAACATTATGTATCAAACTATCTATGATGCAATATCTCCTCCATCCCTTGTCTGCCCACTTATGACCAATATGCACATTTTTTTGGAACAATATTTTTCAAACTTGTTCAAAATTGGAAAGAGTGTAAAAATTCCACATAAAATGTGCTTGGTTTTTACACCTTCTGTGCAGTGTCCACAAATCGGACTCATG